AATCTTGTGTGTAACTCGTGGCATTCTCGAGATATCGTGCAAAAGAAGAATAAGACTAGATTGGAACTCGTCACTGAGGACGTGTTTGGTGATCCACCGTATTTTGACCCTCACGAAGGACGCGCGGTGCCGATTGAAATTACCATATGCTAAAACCTGCTCTATTTAGTTTTTAAGAGTAATTTTAAGCATTTTAATAATTTACGAATGTGTACACATACCTGTCTCTTATACACATCTAAGCGCCCTCATGCGAAAGTTCTCAGGTTACACCCCTTTTACCTCACATATTCTGATTCCCCATAAAAAACTGGTCTAGAAAAACCATATGAGAATTTCTACCTCTCCAAGTGGCACCTATCTCAGTTACAGCCTGGTCTATTAACTGTGTAGCCTACGGTTTATGGTCAACTGAAAACATCATGCAAGCGGGTTCGTTTATGGTACAACAAGGCCTAGTTAATAATAATAATAATAATATTAGTATAACATACAAATTCAATAGTAAAAAGATTGGGAGAATCACAATATAGAAGGAGTAAACATTTAAATAATTAAAACTTTAAAATACAGACAAAATGAGTCAAAACAATTTATGTCATAAAAGTAAAAAAGCGCAAAAGAAAAAACACTTTAAAGAATAACAAAATAATAATAATAATAATAAAAATAATAATAATCAATAAAATAATAATAGTATAATAACAACAACAACAATACAACATACAAATTCAATAGTAAAAAAAGATTGGGGGAACACCATATAATATATACAATATAAAACCAGTGAACATTAATTAAAACCTTAAAATACAGATAATAGGCTAAACAATTTATGTCATGAAAGTTAAAAAATGGGAAAGAAAAAAAAAAAAAAAAATTAAATACGCAGTGGCTAGAGATACGGTACCGTATCAGAACTTCAAATTGCTAAAGATACGGTAAATTATATTATGTCATGATTAGCCAATAGAAAAATGACCGACACGATTTTGGCTTTTTTTGCCAAAGTCGACGTTGCGATTATGAGAAAAAGCGTGTGATGCAGTTACGATCAAATTTATGACATAAAACTTTAGGCCCATTTAATGTATTTCGATTGGGGCTTATCACAATGTTTGGGTTAAAAATCTTTTCTGTTATTCTTGCGTATTTTATGGTCTACCATAGAGAATGGTCTAAGGCTAGGTTTAGGCCTAGGGCCTAGCCCGAATACCAGCCTAGGGGCCTATGCGTTATATGCTTTTAGGCTAGGCTTAGGCCTACTGTCTGTAGTTCTACTACTACTAGGGACCTAGCCTAAGCCTATAGAATAGTAGGTACTAGGTAGGCCTATTATTGCTGATTGAAATAGCAAAGCAATTTGGCGATTGTGATTATCAGTGGAAGTACAGTATAATACTACCTACTGTAAGTTGGCCAACAGTGGTTACTTGTTAACTGTGAATAAAACTAAGTTTCCTAATCTGTCTTTGTTGAAATTTGAAAGTAAATCATGTTACCTTGGTTTAATATTTCGACATTGTTGTTATCACAGAAGGATCAGTGTTTGGGTTTTATCAGGACCTGGTTTTATCATCATCCTATGGTGATGACACAACCATGGTGAAATCAGTGGCGGCTCTAGGATATATTTTCTTGGGGGGGGGGCTAATTTGTCTGACAGGGCAGACTTGAGCTCGTAGGTTGGAGCTGGGAGAAGGGGTTGAGAGGGTTTCCCCTCCCGAATGAGATTTTTTTAAAAGAATATCAACCTCTACATGGCCGAAAATGGCACTCTCAGACTGTGACAGACATGTCTTGGCTTGGTGTGAGCCTATTTTTATATATGTTTTATGGTCTAAATGTCCGACGAGCTCTGTTTGGCGGGGGCTTGACCTGTCCGATAGGGGGCTTAAGCCCCCCCGCTGGCGCCTCCACTGGGTGAAATATCAAATCGAAACATGATTATGTGTGTCTCGCTTATTCGAATTTGCATTATACTTTCGTTTGTTATAATTCCTTTCACATTATGGGGGTTAAACTGTATATTAAAATGAACTGTAACCTTTTGGACCTTATTGAAATTCTATGATGATAAAATATGGCGAGGAACCTGAACCTAGGCATAGGGACTTAGAATCTGTGATTAATAAATTAAATAAATTTTCTAGAAAATAGTATTCCGGAAGTATGTTGTTGATAAACAAGTGTTGATATATTGTAGTAATATTTTTTTTAAAATTATTTTTGTTTCCTTACAGCAGAGTAAAGATGGGGCTTCTTGTCCGATGAATGTACATTTTTTTGAATTTGTACTATAAAATAATAAATACGGCCAGTGTAAATCAATCTGTATCATAGAATTAAAGAAGAATGAATATGAAGAATGATAATGTGGGTATTATTAATTTATTTCTTTAATTGTGTTTCCTTCAATTCTCTTGGTATGTTTTATCCTAACTCAGGAGCTGCAAGAAAAAATAAATAGATTTATTGTATAAAAAGATTAAGCAACTACTCTAGCTAGGCCCTCCGGCTTCGCTAGGTTTCAGCTAAGGCAGGGTAGCCAAGGCCTAGACTCTACTATTAAAATAGTTGATTCTCGCTTGATGTTGCCAAATCTAGCAAAGCTGCTATCCTTTTTATTTGCTATAGTGCCTCGGGCTACAGAATATTAAAAACACAGCTTGTCAACAACACCCGCGATTCCGCGAACGAACGAAAGTTCTTAACTTCGATCGTTGCTAAACTGAATGACGTCACGTATGTATTGGCGTTTCTATTGGCTAATCATGACGTAATATCATTTACCGTACCTTTAGCAATCGGAAGTTCCGATACGGTACCGTATCTCTAGCCACGCGTAAATAACACTTTAAAATAACGAAATAATTCGTCATGGATGTGTAAAAAAAAAAAAAAAAAAAAATGATTCCGAAAATTATAAACTGCTGCACGCGCCCGGTGGTCTTGGCATTGATTTTTGCTCCTTTGCCGTTTTGGTCTATGCCTATTGCCATTGTGTTAGTTGACATTGCCGTTTTGGTTTGTTGCCGTTTTGGTAATTGTTGTTTTGGTTTTTTGTCATTTTGTCCAGAAACCCCAGGCCTCGCTCAGCAAGCAAGACCAGATTCAGAGCCTAGGTCCCTATAGGAGTAGGGAAGCCTAGACTACAGTAGGCTAGTACTGTAGAGGCCTAAAGTAGGTCCTAGGCTAGGACTAGGATAGCCTAGGCCTAGGCGATCTAAATAAGGCCTAGGCCTAGCTTCTTTGTAGGTGTTGGTACTGCCTAGCCTAGGCAGTACCAACACTGAATTTTTTTAAATAATATAATTATTTTTACACATCTTTAACATTTACACTATTTATACTAACCAAACATTCTCAAATGCATGTTAGTTATGGGATTAAATGACCCACAACATAATAAAACCACACGACGAGTAGAAGTGCTGGAAGCCATTTTTCGTTCTGAGTTGATGTCATTCATCATAATAATGTTTTACAATGTGCATCTAAATTACATATAAAAAAATTAGTTAGACAATATTTTTATTTTTAAAATATTTAAAATATTTGATTTTATTATTTTAATATAAGTTTAGGTAGTTTTTATTATTTTGTTCGATTAATATATGCTCATAATATACCATCACATTTTCTCTTGGAATTGATCACTGACCTTTTCAGAAGAAAAATATACCCACATGGCACGTGTGTTTCAATATTCGCAGAAAGGGACTTGTTTGTAACGGATGGATGGACTTTCGATAAGTTATTCAAAGATCCGCATATATGTGGCAGTAGCATATTAGACTACGTATTGTTACCTAGAAGATATTTATTTCATTGCATTCTACGTGCAACTGCTGTATGAAGGCCTACCTAGGCCTAGCATAGCCTAGCTTCCCCAGCAGGCTACAGTAGCTAGGCCTAGTAGTATACTAGTAGATAGCAGCCCACCACCAGTTCTTCTTTTTCTATGCCTAGTTAGGCTAGACCTAGGCACTGTAGAGGGCAGGAAAGTCTTATAGTGCTAGTAGTAGGCGTTGTCCTGCCGTTGTGATACTGTAGACTGCACAGCACTGAACAACAAGCAGTAACTAAAAGGCGTAGACATATTGTTGACCCTTTTTCAATCTATAAACATGATCTCTTCTAAAGTTATAAACAATTTTTATCACATTTTAAAGAATGCCAAAATTCCATATCGTCAGTTTATGGAAAGTAAACAATGTTTGTCAAGTAATGCAAGCAGAGATTCTGATGCAGCACTAGGTCTAGAAAAAAAGCCAAAGCTAATGTGCTCCAATGAAGTCGGTGCGATTGGCACAAGAAGCGAACTTGGTTTTGATGAGTTGGAACACTGTTCAGATGAAAGCAATTCATGCACTTCTTCCGGTCATAACATTGATTCACAGTACTTTGGAGGTATTTTGAATGATGCAGAGCTAGAAGGAAGTAATCAGCCACATAGGCCTATTCAATCTACACAGGCACATGAATATGAAAGGAATTCACCTTGTGATCCAAAAGATCTTAGTAAAATTCATAGACAGTACTTTTCATCGACAACTAAAGTGAACAATTCTCAAGTACAAAAAGAATATTTTGGTAACACTAACTGGATATATGATTCTATAGAAGAAATAGAAAGTGATGCTGAATTATCAAAAATCAAACAAAATAGTATCAAACACAAAATGATCAAAATTGATAAAAGAGAAGACTACTTGCCTAAACAGTTCGAACCTCATGAATTTCCATCTCCACTACATGAATCTCGGGAACATTCTGCAAAAGCAATGACAGATTCATTAGTAAACCTGCGTTCAAAGTTTGAGCATGTTCATAACATTAATAAGATGATAAATAAAAGAGATATTATTAGAGGAAGGAAAGCAGAAACTCTTCCAAAATTGCACAACCTTCCTGCCAATGTTCAATTGGAAGAGCTTGAACCAATCATTGCTGAAACGGTGAAATTGATCACAAAACCAAAAAAGAAAATAAACAAAAAAAAGTTGAACTACTTGAAATTATATGGCACATCCGATCCGGAGGCGCCTTTAACGACAATCCCATGCTGTGGGTGCGGAGCACTACTACACTGCCAAGATCCAACTGTTGGTGGCTACCTGGCAAGTGAAAAGTTTATGAAACTCACTGAAGCAGAGCTTGTGAAAACTCCATGTCAGCGGTGCACATTAATTATCAATTACAATCATGCCATTAATGTCAGTGTAACTGAGGAGGATTTTCAGAAGATGTTTCGTAAAATTCAAGAAAAATATGCATTGATATTAGTGATGGTAGATCTGCTAGACTTTCCAATAAGTTTGATACCCAATATGAAATCTATGATCGGTAGGAATAAAAAGGTAGTAATCATTGGTAACAAAGTGGACTTATTACCAGCAGATTCGCATGACTGTCACAAGAGGGTCATTAAACAACTAAAAAGTACATGTATCTCAAACATGGTTTGCGAGCCAGACCAGATACTAGATGTTCTTTTGTTAAGTTCTAAACTGGGCTATGGTGTTGAAGACTTGATTACCAAAGTACAGTCTATGTGGGCTACAAGGGGAGACGTTTATCTCATAGGTAGGCCTATTTGAAAAACAATTCTTCTAGACAATGCAGTTTTCACTGATTTGTCTGTTTTGAGCTAAAAATTGAGTTATAATTGCTTGTGTTTTATGAACTGTCAATTGATAATTATAACAAGGAAATATTTACCATGCCAATTAACAGTGTACTGCATAAATACACTGCTATATACCTATGGAACAAATTGTCCATTTGGTTTGTTGACAAATAGTATGAATGTCACTTCAAAAATTGACAAGGCCATTTTATTAAAATTTATTTGTACTTAAACGCATTGCACATGCTAATGGTTTGTTTGCAAATGTATGTAGGAAAACTGTTTTTCAAAATTTCTTCACTACATTAAAATAAAAGAAAGTGTTGGCGAATTGTCTTTCGGCGAATATACTGTACTGTTGGCAAATGTTTTGTCTGCGAAACGTCAGTAACTAGACGTGTGAGCGAAGTGACTTGTCTGCAAAAGAAACTGCATTCGGCCAAAAGTCTCAGCAAAACATCTGTCGGTGTATTGGCATTTGGCAAAGCGACCTAGCACCAAATTCTGGATGGATCCTCTGTGGTCAATTTTATTTTTATTCCAATTAAAATTTCATCCAAAAATTTTTCACAGGCCAAAAATATATCTGAAGCATTATTTACCAAAATATAAGTTTGTCTAATTTACTTGTGTCCACACATTTATGTAGGTACAGCAAATTCTGGAAAATCAACACTTTTCAATCGTCTGCTCAATTCTGACTTCTGCAAGACCAAAGCCAAGTGGTTGTATAAGAAGGCGACTGTAAGTAAATGGCCAGGAACCACATTAAATTTGCTGAAATTTCCAATCTTGAAACCAAACATCGAACGGATCAGCAAACGTGAGGCACGATTACAGGAAGAAAGAGAAAGCAATGAATGGGGAAGCAGTATTAAACGTGATAAACAATTTAATGCCCTTGGTTACTTTCAAGGTTAGTTTTTTTATTGAAGGTTAAATTCATCTTCCTTTTAATAAAATTGTTGTTATTGTTGTGTTTCTTTTGTTTATATTATTAGATGGGTTTGTAAAATTTTTTTCAGAGATTCTAGATGTATTGAGACTCACAAGATACCGTTTTTGTTTTCAAGAATAGTTTTTCAGTTTATTTTTTGGTATAATATTGTATAGCTAGCATGTTACATGCCCTAGCAAAACATATACATTATAAATTCTACATTTTACACATACAAAGATGTTATGAAAAACTGCACAACCGTCTTGCTTGTATACAGCTACTGCAGTTAAAAAAATTGAAATTGCGTTTGCAACATTCAAAATGTCATTATGCTATCCATCTCATAATTTCTAGCATCTAACTATAATTCGTAGAGAAGTCAAAAAGCCTTCACTTGATAAATGAAAGCATAATCTGCTTGATACATTACAATTATAATTTGTAGGTCATGTTGGAAGAAGCTTTGAATGGGAATTATATGATGATCACAGACAGGCTTTCAATTTGGTTTCTGGCAATAAAAGACGATTGCCTATTATGCCATTTAAATTTGATCCCCATGAGTTCAGCGAGGGCAAATGGTTGTTTGATACACCAGGCATTATAAGGCAAGAACAGGTGAGAATATTCAGTTAAATCCAACATTAATTATTTTATTTATTTATTTTATTAATTATTAAAAGATTGCTTTACCCGAGTCAGCATTGAAGCTAAAAGACTTAACATCGGCTTCAGCATTTTTAGAAACAGTGAGTCAAGCTATCATTGTAAAATTTAATTTTTCAAAATTATGAACATAAATGTGGCACAATACTTGGGATTAAAAGATTTGAACATTTTAAGACCACAAATAGGGCTATACAGTTAGCATACATTAGCATTTATTTTTTGGGCATTTTTTTTTTAATGATAACGATATTTGATATTTTTCTTCCAATTATTTTTTCTTAATGCTTGCTAAGGTATTATCCAAGTTGACATCTGAAGAACTGAAACTTACTGTACCCAGCCAGGCTCTCCGACCCAAGACATTAGTCATCCGGCCAGGACAAACTGTCTTTCTTGGTGGACTTGGACGTTTGGACTATCTAGATGTAAGTTGATCATTAATATAGTTTTTATCTCTATATTGTATATATATATATATATATATATCTATATTGTATATATAAATTGTCTCTATATTGAACGCCAGACTAAATTTTATGCTTGCCATTTTATTATGAAGGTAATTTCCATCATTTTAAATTGCATTCTGGGTAATTTTTAGGTCATGTATGTTCAGCCGGGTATCTTCATGCCGGATGGTTTTTATTCAATAAGTTTGGCCTCTGGCTCTTTTAACATTTTTAAAAACATAAAAAAATAAAATTGTAAGCATTTCTACAGAAGTATTTATGATTATAAACATATTTAATAAATTATTGCCAATATTTACATCTCTGGACGTTAAATGAATGAATTAAAATATTTGAGTATTTCTGTTAACAAAATTTGGTCTACAATTACTTATTTATTGTTGTCATTATTAATATTATACAATTGAAATGCTTTATGCACATTTTAGAAATAAGGGAATAAAAAAAATATATAATAAGGGTTTTAAAATATAGGTCGTACAGTTAATTTGTTTTTCCAGTTGAAGTGAGTAAAAGTTTGCAAGATAGAATTCAGAGGATGTTCGTTTTGTGTTTCCTGGGAATAGATTGAAATTCTGTAATTTGATTATGATTGCAGATGAGCAAAGTTCAAATAAAATAAAGCATTAGTTTGTCTTGTAGAAATAAGTATTCAGAAATGAATTCTAGTCTCATTAATGGGACAAGTAGTGTTAAGAGGTTTGGAACAATCACATATAATAGTATAAACTGTAAAAATTGTACTGCTCATCTCGTCATACAAAGATGACCCACTTAAAGGGATAAATAGTTGTGTTTGCTACATTCATTTTCAGATAAATTTTAACAAACCTCAGCCATAGAGCTCTATGCCTCAACAAATATATTGCTTATTTGTGGTCTGCCTTCCATAAACCATTTCTTGTAAAATAAAATAGTTGAGGTGGTTTTCTGTTTTCATGAAGTGTATTGTGCTATCCTTTCTGAAAAGTAATGCTATTAGAACTATGTACAGTACTAGCCCTGATTACTGTAATCAATTGTTCTCTTGTTGAGAACTATCAGCTTCTGCTTATTTGAGTATTTTATTAGTTTAAACATGATGCATCATTGGTTAAATCATCATTTCATTATGAAAAAGTCATCATACTCTCAGTATAAATTTAGCAATGGTGCTTGCATTAGTATTACAGTCAACACACAAAGAGTTGGGATTGAGCATTAGACATGCAAGTAAACAAGAAGTTGGGTCTGTCTGAGCATTTTGTGTAGCATAGTGGTAACCTCTAAGAGCTTATCACTTTATTACCCCAGACATTGGAATAAATGGCTATAAAGAAAATACCATATAATTGCAGCAATAATCAGCGCATTGTGATTGAACCTATTAGGTATCCACTTATACCCTGAGAGAGATGATCCAGGCCTTGATTTAAAAGGCACGCAATCGCACCGGCGCTCCTCAAAATTATGCGAGGAGAGCAATCAATAGTGCTCCTGAATTTTTCTAGGGAGCGACAAATAATACCAAGTTTCATTACATAGCAGGCAGTGTGTACGCCTTGTGTACTGGACTGAGAATAGATGAACTCTATACGACGTCTCTTTCTGCGCACAGCTACCAAAGTCAGCGGTATTTTCACATGGTTTTAGTTTGTCTCTGCAGGACTAGACAATACCACAGCTCTGTTGTTTAGAATGGGCATGAAGGAGAATTCCCAAGTTATACCTTTGTCGTATAGTTAACCTTACAATATTTTCATGTTCTTTAGTTAAATAAAAGGTATAAAGTGATGAATTAATACACTAGACACATGGTTTTATTTGAACACTTTATTATGACATCATAAAGTGATGAATCAAAACACTAAACACATGGTTTATTCGTTTATTCGTAAGCCTAGAGGCTAGGTCTAGCCTAGTAGGTAACATCGTTTGTTCGTTCATAACATACGTTATTAGGGCGGTTTTAATTTGTGCGACGATGCGACGCTCGAACGGAATCACTCATGCGTGACCGTCCTACCAGGCGCCCTACGTTCTCTGCACATGTAGATTTGGCCAAATTGCATTACAGAATCTACTCGACGAAGTGACCTTAACGTTCTTGCATCCGCAGATGACTTTTAGTGACGTCATTATGTTCTACGTCCTACCGTCGTGGTGCAATCAAAAGCTCATTGTTGAGTGTTACATACTTATTAGGTCAAACGTCGCCACAAATTTTACTTTTATTAAGTATTTTTGTTTTATTTTTTTCAGTACATTTATTAATTTAAAATAAATGATTACTAAGCAGACAATTTTTTCCATTTTGATAGCTTTGATGATTTCAAAGTGAAAATTGTCACAGTATAGTGCTAAAATTACTTAATGGCCGTTGACCAAAATCTTTGAGTAAAGGATGTTAACAAAACAATGTTATTTACCACAACAGCTGTGCACAACTACTGTACCAAATGCACACTTGATAATGAGGTAATCCTGTAGTCATGTGGTGTAGTTAGAGCAGTGAGAGCATAGTCTAGTTTGTGAATACTTTTGATAAACCAACTAAATGCCAAAGAGCAATTTTTCCAAGAATACTTTAATCTCTTTAGTTTCTTTTTGTATAAGCACGGCATTATCGTATTGTACAAGCTGAGTGATTTTATACTTTGTACTTCAGCTGAAACAAAAGAGAGCAGCAATAGAATTGAACCAGGAACCTTACCTCACAACGAGAACATCTTCTGAAGGGATATGTTACTTAGAAAAGTGATTAAGTTTGCTGTTTGGTTTATCCTTTAATAAAAATCCAAAAAACAAAAACAAATATTTACCAGTTTACAGGGGTCCCTAGTCTACTGCAACTCGTGGTAGTCTCTCAGAAATTGAAAAAATTGAAGGAAAAAAAACTACAGTAGTATAGTATCCCAATTCTGCCATTCATATTTTTCATTTCTTTGCATTAAAGTAGATTATTAAAATTTGAAAGTTTATTTTCTTTTGTAGTTTCTTCTATTGTTCAATATAATAGCTCACAATTAAAACCTTGCTGTGCGAAACCTAACTTTAAGTTTTACTCACACATTTTTAACTGGAGTCAAGTTGGAAGAAGCCACTTTAGGGAGATTGATAATGAGCTCTCTTGGCACATCTAATTTTATTTTGCTGTGCGTGGTGATACGCATCACCAGCTGAAAATTGATAAAACTTAACAAAAAGATAAGTTGGTCCATTCAGCAGAATCTGATCATTGGGACCCTTCATACATACAAAGAAATACAATATAAAATTAAAAATAATAATGATCATAATAGTGAGGATGATGATGGTGATGATAAATATGAAAACTATACAGATTTCAAAAAAATAAATATGTCACACCGGTAAATTACCACAGACTCAAATATTGCTATTCGTATATGCGGTACAGTATATATTGCGATATCACAAATAACGCAATATATACGGTATATTGCGTTATTTGTGATATCCCTCGGTACATTTTCTATGCAATAATGAACCATGCTCAACTTTGGTATTGTATATTAATTTTGCATGTGTAACCATATTATTGGTAAAGGAAAGTAAGGTAAAGGTCGAATCCTGAAGCTCTGGGCTCACAGGCCGAAGTGCCCGTCTCTCTTTGCTTGCCGTTTTGGCCAGACTGTGCAAGGCTGTGGGGGGGGGGGTCCACCACGCCTCCCACACATTAGTCTGTTTCACCTTCCCAGCATGTGCAGGTACCCATTTATACTCCTGGATGGAGAGAGACCAACGTTAATAAAGTCTTGCCTAAGGACAGAAGCGACTTGCACATTGAGGGTTTCGAACTTCCGAACTCAAGGTTGAGAGTTCGGGCCATAACCGTTGCACCAACCGCTTCTGTTATAACCATATGGAATATAAAAATGTTTTCAGAGTTCAAGATAATCTAATGTTCGCAAAAATCTATTATATCCATATAGAATATAAAAATGTATTCAGAGTTCAAGATAATCTAATGTTCGCAAACATCGATTTATTCATGGTCCACAATGCATATCCACTTAAATTAGTAAACAATCCTGGGCTGTATTTTGCTATAGCAGGTCTGGGTGCCGCATGTAGCTTCCAACACAAAAAATTCCAATATTCCTTCAAACTAGCTGATGATCAGTTCGTACAACGCAACAATGCATCAGGTTCTCCACAGATATAACAGACTTATAATCACGGGCATGAGACCATCTAATAGTAAAGTACCAAACATTTTACAATAATAACAAGTATTGATAACAATAATACTGTAGTGTTGATTAGAAATATTACTTATAAATTGTCGTTAAAAGCTACTTATAGAATTTGTAATGTTTACAGCTTAATTTAATGTAATGTAGGTTGACATAATTGTTGCCTATACACATTGTCTACCGGTACGGTATGTCTACATTCATTCTCGGCTTTTTGAACGTCATAGAGCATTTTGACCCAACACTGAATAACCACCCAACTCTCTGAGAGTCTAGGTTTCTTAACTGTGAGTTCTGGAATTCATGTGACAAAATATCTACAGTTATGTACTTACCTTGATTAAGCTGATTATTTTCATACTCAAGAAACTATTTTATATCAAATCAAAAACTGTTTGAGGATCATGGACAAATTTCATTTGGCTCTGTGTATGTAATTACAAATGGTTTTTCATTTTATTAGAACCAAAGAGATAATAATAAATGTGTAATACCTCAGTGACGGCCCAATCAATTACCTTTTATCAGACTAAAATATAATCTTGAGTTGAGTTTGAGGATTGCATTCTACATCTCGGAAAGATCACTTGCAGATTGGGAATTGAATAAACTGCACCTTTAAGATGTTTACAATAGATCATGTGTAGACAGCAGAGGGATTTACAAGCGTGCATTAAATTACATTTGTAGATTATTTATCTTTATCTAGCATTTAGAGACCTTAAGATGATATTAACCATTTTATAAAAGGTAACAAAA